AAACATTGCTTTACAAACCTTAAGACTTAATAAAAAAAATTGATATTTTACGTATGAAAGCATTGTAATGTTTACTGATAATCTGCCAAATTTTGTTAACATTCATGTCATTGTATCTTCTGTATTGTTAGCCAGGTACAGATGAAAGGTCAATATAATAAAAATAATAAATATATATAAATGTATAATGTTATGATATTTAAGCTATTTAGTCTAAACATTTATGTTTTTGTGTTATAATTTGTAGTCATTCTAGAATGAAAGAGGCAAAATTTATGTTTATTTCATAATTTTTATGATGGTTGCGAGATAGGTGAAATGTACCAAACCCTTACAGATATTAATTACTGAAAATAACAGATAACACAACTTTACAATATATGAAAGTGATTACCCCGACTAGTTTTGACATACCACAGTATATCCTTGAAAATGACATACGTGGTATTGTCAAAACTAGTAGGGATAATCATCTTTGTATCTTGTAAATTAGTGTTAGTTCTTCATTCTTGCTTATAAAGCTGTTAATCTTTACAACAAAGTTTGGTTTGTTTTCAATTTCGTGCAAAGCTACATGAGAACTATCTGCACTAGCCGTTCCTAATTTAGCAGTGAAAGATCGGAAGAAAGGCAGCTAACCATCACTACTCACTGCCAACTCTTGGGGCTACTCTTTTACTAATGAATAGTGGGATTGACCATTATAAAAACCACATGGCTGAAAGGGCGAGCATGTCTGGTGGGACAGGGATTCAAATTCGTGACCAGCAGATTGCGAGTTGAGTGCCCTAACCACCTGGCCATGCTAAGCCTCTCTAGGAGAGATTATAATTAATAACTTTTCATCATGCTTGTTCTTGCTCAGAATGTCAAAGTTTGTACAGATGAATTTTCTAGCATCTGAATGATCTACCTTTGAATGGTTGACACTTTTGTTTTCAATTCCGTAGATCTCTTGCATCAGATAGCAAAGTCCATCAACAAATAATTTTTGCTTCAAAGGTTTTAGTGAATATGTATTGTCTGAGTACTTCTCCACAACTGCTATTAATGTGTGAGATTGGTAAGGTTCTGAAAAACAAAAGATCCAGACAATTAAACGTAGAAGTACTATCAGATTAGAATGGACCTTTTTATAGTAATCTTTGGGAAAAAAACACAAATTTTCGGAAATTATATTCACCAGAATAAGTTTTTTTCATTCAGTTTATTTGTATGACCTGTAAAAATTAATTACATTACTAATAATCAATGCTAATTTTACAACCCTTATAAATATATTTAAACATAATGTGTACATGTAGATGATTAGGATAACTGATTAGGAAACACAGTAAATTCAAGTTACTGGTCTTTCTACTGTCTATGATAACTGATTAGGAAACACAGTAAATTCAAGTTACTGGTCTTTCCACTGTCTATGATAACTGATAAGGAAACACAGTAAATTCAAGTCACTGGTCTTTCCACTGTCTATGATAACTGATTAGGGAACACAGTAAATTCAAGTCACTGGTCTTTCCACTGTCTATGATAACTGATTAGGGAACACAGGTAAATTCAAGTCGCTAGTCTTTCCACTGTCTAATTCTCTTAACATAATGCTTTTATTGGATTTAGTATAAACTGTCAAAACTATTAAAATCAATTTTGTATGCCAATCAAGTAATCATACATTTAACTAAGAAACCAGCAGCGTTTACATCTAGGATACATCAGAGCTATTGCACTTATCTCAAATAAACGTATTTGGCCATAAGCACTGTGCTAAGAGCAAGGAAAAAAATTAATTTCTCTATGTCAAACATTCACTTTTTTTATAATTCAAAAGTGGAAATATGTGTATCTATCTGGCTTACTATGTTGGATACACGTGTTTTATAACTGAACGTTTCATATTCAACCATTACATTATGATGCAAGAAAAACAGTTTTCTAGATACGATAAGGAAACGCAAGACAATCTGAACTGTAGCGAAGTTCACAAACATCAACGAGAAAGTAAAATAATAATAATAAAATCCAAAAGGAATGGCAAGACTAACAAGAAAGTTAATAATTTTGTTTCATTATAAAACACCATGGAAAATAAAGTGGACATTTCTAGTCCAAGTGTAGAAGCTTTTCGTTAACACCTTTAACACCTACGAAAGACAACCATTATGTTTCTAAAATTTGGTGATACTGTTGTAGCATGTATTAAAAAAAACAATGGTTTTTACTGATGAAAAAAAGGAACAATGTTTAATAAAAGAATCTTAGTTTCTTATAACGATACTGCAGAATTCTAGCACAAAGAAGTTGTTTGTTCTGTCCACTGGAGATATCAGAACCCAAATTTTAGCATTATAAGCCCTCAAACTTTCTGTTGAGCCACCAGAGACACCTCACAAAGTAAAATGTAAGAAAAGTGGATAAAACATCAATCTCATAAAATTATAATACTGTCAGTAAAGTTCAGTGGTCAGTCTTAATAAAAAAAAACTTTTCAATGCAAAGAAAATAACAGAACAAAGTTAAAAAAAGTAAATCTCACTTTAAAACAGATGAAATAAAATATGGTCTACACTGCCTGATCATATACAGTTACACATTCTGATACAGAACAACTGAACTATGGCACATTCATTCAAGGATTCCGGCTTGTACAAAATGCTTCCTGTACATTTGATAGGGTATCAAAGTTGAGTTCAGCCTATTTTCATGGCAAAAGCAGTACAAGAACAAAGAGCCTTAACATCAGGTATCATAATGAATAAACATTTAAATGTATATAAAAAAAAACTATAAGAAAAATATATTTTAATTATTTGGCTTACTAGACTCCACAAACAACCCTGCATTACTGGTAATATTATTGTATAACTTTATATTTTTGTTCATTCAACATAATTCTTCAAAAAAGTGATAATTATTATAACAGAATTTGTTGATAAGGTCCAGTTTCTGAAACACATCCCTAATTAAATCACACTCTTTATAATCATAATTACAATAACAGCTTCCCAGCTGCAGTTTAAGAGATAAGCTATAACTACACTGTATTTCCCACACTAGTCTTGTAGCAGTAGAAGTCGTAAACTGCCGATATACGATCATCTTTCAACCTTGAGTATTTTCTACTACTTTTAATAAAACAGTTTTAATTTTAAAAATAATTTAATACCTACCTTCACCTTCTTCAGCAACACACTGAACTACCACAGGAAGAAAGATCTCATCTTCAAATCTACAATTCAACTGTAAAAATAACAGTATAACTTAATTTGAAAAGCACTCAAACTCGGGTATAATAGTTCTAAAAAGTGTGAATTACAAAAAGTCCCTAATATAGTAGTTTTACTTGAAACAACAATAAATTTACACATTTCATTACTTTAAAATTAGTGTTTAGAATTCTATATAAATTATATTTAAAAAAATCAGTAAATTCAATGACTAGGCAACAGCAGAGGTAAAGCAAGAATAACAAACTTCAGTTATTAACAAAAATAAACTGAAATTTACAAAATTGTTTGTTTGTTTTTGAATTTCGAGCAAAGCTACACAAGGGCTACCTGCACTAGCCATCCCTAATTTAGCAGTGTAAGACTAGAGGGAAGGCAGCTAATCATCACCACCCACCACCAACTCTTGGGCTAATCTTTTACCAATGAATAGTGGGATTGACCGTCATATTATAATGTCCCCACAGCTGAAAGGACGAGCATGTTTGATGTGACAAGGATTCGAGCCCGCAATCCGCAGATTGCGAGTAGAGCACCCTAACCACCTGGCCATGCCGGGCCGGACATTTACAAAATGGATTTATCTCTAGTGTACGATATTTTAAAGGTATGTGATGAATTTAGATATCTTTTTTTCTCAAAATTCGTCCAGTTTTTCGAGTTATAAACAAGTTAATATGTGTCAATATAGAGATTATTGGTGTTATCTGAACATAAAAAAAATGAATATACACATATATATATATCATACAAACCTTCTCCCATAAAGTTCACTTAGCACCAAAAACATAAAAAGACCAGTTTGTACAAGACCACTAGTATTAATGTAGAGACATAGCACATACAAGTCCTAATTCTCAGTTATTAGTAGTAACAACTAATCTGTCACATACTCACATCGTCTTCTGTATACTTGGAGGGATCAAACGTGTGAGAGACCTGAACAAACTGCTGATTGACTCCACACTTATAATGGTAGGTTTCCGAATTCATTGTGGGATCTCTGGGCTTACAGCTATTATCGAGAAGATTTTGTTTTTTTAATTTTTCCTACCGAAACATATATACCACTGAATAATTTATTTTACTTGGCCAACAAAGTATGGATACTTAAATATACATTTCAGTACAAAAGATATTATTCTATAATAATAATACAATAAGTTATTCACAATTCTTATGAACAAAACAAGTTCATGATCTACTAAGTAGCTTCTATTTGGTACGTAATATAATTTCAGGCACCATACAAATAATCCATGAATTTCATGCTGGTTATTAGCAGGAGAAATGGATATATTTTTACATTTTATGGTGATTACATAGTTATTTTTCTGTAGCCAAAATTTAGAGGTGACTGTACATTAAATAAATCCTGAATGTTAGTAGAAAAACATCATCCAACCTTCAACACGATACCAACAGTAAACAGAGGTTGTGTTAATGGTAAACTGAACATGAAACTTGAAACATCATATGTACCCTTGCAAGTTCTTTCCTTACCTTGTCATCTCTTGACAATGTTTAGAATGCTATCAAGCTTCCCAGGGATGGCAGATCTTTTAGTTTCAAGAAGTAGAGAATAAGCTTTAGGTTTATCACTCTCATCTTACAACAACTAATGAAACACTAATAGAAGTCGCAGCAAGTTTTAGCAAATGAAGTTTATGTTTTGAGATCATGGCCAAAAAACTAAATAATCCTGCCAACCACCTGCCATGAACTGATACCTACTCAAAATCCTTAGTGTTTGCTTCAGTTGCTGTGGTTGTATTGGTTACAAGTGTTCCTTAGGAGTGGGGTTTTTCTGCCCCAAACCACTTGAAAAACTGCAAAGTGGTCTCACTTCACAGACTAACCTGTGGGTAACCTGATAAAAATCACACTGAAGGGGGCCTAATCAACCACATTCCAAATACAGGTCAGACATCAAAATCTATGCAAAAAAAAAGGGCCATCTGTAGTTTTAGTAAGATTCCGAGCCCTGAAGTCAAAATACTGTAAATAACTAAGGTACGTGAAATATTTTTTATATCTCTTAAAATTTGTAATCACTGTGTAGCAATAATGAAATTCTTGGTTAACTATGCACTCCCATAACAGTTTTTTAAAACCTTAACATAACCTCTGTTAAATAATATAATTAGGGTGCAATAACACATATATATCAAGTCTCTGATTGGTGATATATTCAAATTTATTTTTACTTGGAATTATCTAAACATAAAACATCCTTTTCTGAAAGATAATTATTTCCAAGAGTGGTTTCTCAAATGCCAAAACAGTTTTTTCAAAGGGTCTGATCGTATTAATGAAAAAAATACTATTAAGATATCCGTTTTTTTGTGTACAACAGACTTGTAAGGTTTACTAAAATCTTCTTACATGTTATGAAAATACACTTGTTTCGTTCAGAGTTATAGTACGTACAGCCTCATAATTACAAACTTCCAAGATTGGTCAAACCAACCACATTCATTCTTAGAGTTAATAATTTCAGTGTTGATTAATATTTTATAAAACAATTCAAAGTTAAAATCACAAGATGATCTAAGTTTTGATATTAACATTTTTAGTTGACTGAGTTATAATCACAATTAATCCAAATGCACATAAACTTGACAAACCATTAATTGTGTCCGAAATTCACTTTCAATGCGAGTATAACCTCATACTATCATCATAGGCATAAGTTTTATAAGGTATTGTTAACATTTAGACTTGTAGCACTCTATAAAATGCATGAGCATAAACTCATTGGAATATTCAAAAATAGTAGGGAATGACAATAAAAAAAAACTTTAACTTGGCCTTTTGGAGATGAGAAAATAATCTATCGTGAAATTTTCACAAAATATATTTTCAAGGAAACCTACAGCTTGTTATTAGCATAATGGTGTCACAAAGTTCATATAAAATACCATCAATAAATTGTTTGATCATTTAAAATGACGAGCTGGCACCACGAGAAGGAGGGACGGGAAACCACACAGTTGGTTCTGACTGAGATAAACAGGCTACCAGATGAGAGAGGGTAGATTGTTGCTGGACAGATGTCACCCAAGACCTCCAAAGACTTCAGGACCGTATCAAAGATGAAACTTCTTAAAATGGAGCCATATGCAAATCCCGGAGATAAGGAGGATGTGAACGGGTTCTACAACAAAGCAACATCGAGCCCTAAAAGGTCCCAACAACAGATAAACCACGTTTCTAAAGTCAGAGTCAAAGACGACAAACGAGCCAACGTGCAGGTAAGGAGGGAGAGGATGACCCAGAAGAGCTTTTGACAGGAGATGAATTGTTGAAAAGTACCACAAAAGAGTTGTGAGGGTAAAACAGAGGCGGAAAAATTGGATATGGGTAAGACTAACGGGAGATTTGGGGCCTACTCCCCAAACGGGTAAAACCGAACCAAACAGATGTTATTATTTTATGATAGAACCAATAGTTAGTGACCATTACAAAAATGAAACAAAAACTGATGATATCTGTGTCAGTGTTTCCACTTACAATGTTGTCTACAATTAAAATAGAGCACATGAAACACCACCTCAAACTAGAAAACCCTCATAACAAAGAGGATAATTTTGTTTCACAAATCAAGGGGTTGAATATACAAGACTGTTTAGTTCAAACGTTATTATTTAGTTTATTTAACGATTATTTAGTTTTCATAATAAAGTGTCAAAAGTTGATTACTTTAAAAGCGATAATTATCACAAGTTTTGCTACGTATTTTGTATGTTGTGTATGCAGTTTAATTGTTGTACTAGACTTTTGTAATATTGTTGACGTCATCTTACTAGAGGCTTCCAAGTTTTTTCTCGTTATGTGTAATACTGTTGCTACTATAGGAATAGAAAGACCTAGATTTTTTTGTCATGTGTTATAAATACGTGCGATACAGCAAGTTAGAAAAAGTGAAGTTATACTGCATGATTGTTAGTTTAGCCGGGCAATATCTAAAGTGAGTTTCACAGTAGTATTGTAACAACAGAGATAAAGAAGAACATTTTGTCTTGTTAAAGGGTGTTCTAAAGTAACTGAACCCACCTGTGTGGACTTTGAAGAAAAGGAGACAATTATTTAAAGCTCTGGATACAACTGCGATAATCAATAGTATAATGAATTTTGTACATATGTTTGACTTGTTTGAATATATTATTTTAAAACAAGTGGATTGTGTGCT